CAATTTCAGTCCCGCAATCGGTTGCTATCTTTTTGACACTTTGTAAATGTCAAAATGGCCGCTTCTTGTATTTTTCAGAACTGTTCCAGTCCAAATCGAGAATTTGAAAATTTTAAATTGTGGAATATTCTGAGAGTCTTTAAATCCAAAACTCGTTATTAAGGTTCGGATTTTTCCTCAAAAGTATCCTTGCGAATTTGAACCATTTTGTGAGTCACATTTAAGTCACTACTCTCTTGAACCGTATCGGGAAGAAAACTTTTCAAGCGATGGCTTGGAAGTTATCCCATGCAAAATTAAACTTTTTTTTAAATAGTAGACAAATTGAAAACAGTTAAACTTGTTTCTTCTTTAAAACCTTTTTCTTTCTTGGATCAACCATAAATCCCCCTCCCCCTTAACTGACCAGCCATACGATGTCCTCGGAAGTCACGTGCTAATTTAGGAAACTAATTCTGTGTAATGTATGCTTTTCGAATCAACTCAAAAACAGAATTGGTTTTCACAATTTTTTGAAGGATGGCATTTGAATGATGTTAATTACCTAGATTATTGAATTCTCAATCAATTTTTCTCAAAAAAACTGTTATTTTTTTTTATAAATCTAGGCTATACTCAAAGTTATTTCCTGAAAAATCAACAATTTCTGCCCCCTAAATCAGTTTGGGCAATATTGTACGGTTGATCCAAGAAAATACTTTTTATGGAATGCTTTTCGTAGGATTTTGAACAAATTTTTAGAAATGATTTTTATGACAAAATTAGCAAAAAATCATTCGATTCTTTACTAAAAGATTTTTAAGGTTTAGCATGAAAATTAATTGCTAACTAAACCGTAATTGTGGGAGACTGAGCAATAAGCAGAATGGCCTAAGAGCAGAAAAGCTCCAAATGTAGAAAAACTGAAAAGTCATAGTTAATCAGGAGAAAAACAACTAATGGACCTCTCAATATTCGCAAAGAAACGAATAGATTATGCACAAATTGGGTAACTTGATCTTAATTTTTCCAAAAGTTTATTAAATTTCATTTTTATATTTGCTTTATCAATTAGAATGTGTATATCAATATTTGTTTTTCTGCTTACTGGTTGTCGTCCATGCAAGAAAAATGACTGCCGTACATTTTCAAAAATGGAATCTATGGAAAAAAGGCTTATCATGCAGTTTTCATTGAAGAAGGTTTTATGATAAGCAATTTTTCTATCGAATTTTTTGTCAAAATTTATCTTAAATTGGCTTACAACTTAGAAAAAACAAATTGGTGGCAATTTTGTTATATGAAAGCAATTTTGGCATCAAACATTTTTTTTTTGAAAAATTGCTTAACGCACACTTTAATAAATGAAAAATTATGATATTCAGGTCATACGATAGAAAAAGTATCAAAAAATACAAACATGAGGCAAAGATTTTTCTGTTCTTTTCTTAATTGAAAATTTGGTTCTGTGCACATTTGATCATTTAATAAAAAAACTATACAAAAATTGAAATGTTGTGTCCATAACGTGTTCCAGGTTGAGTTTTTCACCAAAAACAGAAACAGAAACCACTAGCAAGTTTTTATTTTGAGAACACAATTTTTGATTTTGGTTTTCATACGCAGGAAGTAACTTATTTTTGAAACAAAACTGGATTCTTTTCTCAATCACCTAAAATTTTGAAGTGAATTTTTCTGTTTTTACAAAAATAAATTTTTTGGTAAATTTTTGCGTGGAAATCTTAACATTAACTTACATGATCAATATCGTCAAATGCAGTTAATCAGCGGTGTAACTGTAGCTTACACTATGCGTTTCTTATGATAGAAAACCCATTGTTTATGTGATTTTCTATAAAACACAAAAATTCAAAACCTAAATTTTAACAGTAATTTTCATCACACAAGTTTTCAACAGACAGTTTAACAGATTGGAAGAAATGCTTTTATCATACAATTTCGATACAAATCATTACGAGGCCAAACTGTGCACTGGATAGGAGCACAGTTTTGTGTCTGTATGTTCCTGGATTCCAGAGACAAGTCTTTAAACATGTGAAAATTATGTCGGAACCATCAAAGGAAATTAGAGAACAAAAGAAGAACAAAGGGAGCGTCCATGATGCGGAATCCGCTTACAATGCAAAAAATGCACAGTTTGGCCTCGTAATGATCTTGTGATAAAAAATATGGCAAAATAAATAATGTTTAATTCCAGAGTGTGGAAAAAATTATGGAAAAAAAGATTACGTTGCTCGTTTCATACAGTTTTTTCATGCCATGGAATTGCATAAAACTGTATGACAAGCATTTTTTATATATTATGAAATTGTATGATCGGCATTTTTTGTCAAACCGGGGTCTTAGACCCTTTCTGATCTGAGCCATTCTGCTCATTGACTGGTACACCAAAATTGTAGGGTCTTGTCCACAAGTCGGCCCAAAATCAAAATGTACAATACTTGAACTGAAATTTATGCGATCGTATTTGATTGGCTTGTTTTATCAAACCAAATTCAAGCAGCACGGTCAGGTATTTCAAACAAAATTTCCAGACGATTATTAGACAAAACTACCTAAAACGCCAAATTTGGTCAAATAATCAAATTATTTTCAGGTGACTTGAGAAACTTCGCCCAGACAGGAAAATTCGGAAAAAAGGCTGCAACAGAACAAAAGTTTTATCTTTTCGGCCTTTCCATCTAGCATGTTTTATTAACCCGAAATTTTAATTGAAATTTGCTGAACCATGAGCCAGTCAGTTTCAAACCACTTTAATTTCACTTCAAGATGTAAAAATACTGATTTTGTGCCGTTCAGTGCATAAGATCATAATTGCAAATCTTCATTGGCTTTGAAGTTTGCAGAATCATAGAAAGATGAAGATGCAATTAAATTTGAAACTTATCGTTCGTTTATCATTTACCAAGTCAGTTCTGGCTAAATGATGGAATTCTCAACAACAAAAAAACATTGTTCAATATTTAGAATCTGACAAATTTCATGCTGTGATTCCAAATCTGTGCACACATCGTGTTGCCATTAATTTTTAATAAAGTTTTTCGCCATTCATTTTTGTTCACGTTTGTATACCAGTAGAAAAAAACTATTTCACGATAGTGGATTAATGCAATGAAAGCAAGAAAAAAATCAAATGCTGTTACAATCCTCAAATCGAATGCCATTTTGATTGCTTTGATTTTGAATTTATTAATTTTTGCAGTTTCACAGTTTTTAATTCGAAGTCCAGCAGCTGGAAATGATTCAACGGCATTTTTTAATGAGGACTCAATTCCAGCTTCTAAGCCGTAAGTTTTTACTTCTCATTTCCATAAATTTCGAGTGAGGGTGATCGTTTCTAGCTCGCAAGAAAGTTGATATAAGAAATTCTAAAAGATTTTTAAAACATAATTAGCAGGCGAATGGGAAAAAAATGATAACACGCGGGACAAAACTGAAACCAACTTTTAAAATGCTATATTTGGAGTTTTCATTTTGTTTAGGGAGAAAACAGTTTGTGCCAGTGACTTCATCCGCCCCTACGTGAACATACTCCAAAACAGATCAACAGGGAAGTCCTCTCTATAGTTGACGGTCATCTATTTCTTTAAAAGTATGCGGTGATAAAAGTATCGCTTCTTTAAAAAATACTACACTGAAATAAATTTAGTCCTAAGCATAATGCATTTTACTTTTTTTAATTTTAAACACTCAATAAACTCTTATTCAGTTTCATCAACTCAGATTTGAATTTTTGCTTGGTTAGTTTTTTGATCTGCAAAAGGTTTTTTGTTCCTTTATTTGGTTGGATTAATACAGAGATGACTTCTGAAAGGGTACGATGGACCGTGCACGTGGCCTCGGAGTCAGAACAAGAATGTGTTCTTGATTGAGACTGTGAAGAACTTTGCCATCCCAAAGATACTCTGTACACTAGAGAGTGCAGCCAGACACACCAAGGCAGGCTTATTGTCATCATAACTGGTTTCATATACAGTGAAATAGTGCCATGTTGGCAATATCGGTGACCTTGAGCATTTCAAACGGTCGAAAATTATAGCATTTAGGTTAATTCGTTCTTTTTTTTGCACACGGTTTTTTTGCACACGGTAAAGATCAGTGAAAAAATAAAATCCGACATCGAAATGAGCAGTTTTAGGTTAATTGACATTTATAAAACGAGCTGCGCCAATGTTCAGAAAACTATACTTTTGTAACGGCGAATGAAAACGCTGGCGACAGTTTGTCAGAAGCGACAGTTTGTCAGAAGTATAAAACCTTAGAAAAATTCGAAAAACCATTTCCTCTGATAAACACCTGTATGAAGATTGAAACTGTCTGAATGTTGTTTCCAATCATTGTGGAAAACAAAACTTTTAAAAGAGAATTTTTTGACTGAGGATAGAAAATTTCAGAAATACTAACATGAATTTTTTGTGTAAAATCTTACAACCTTTAACTTTACTATCGATCGCAGATGAAATGTAAAGCTCTGAAGCTGAACGAATCTATACTTTTTCTAAAAAAAAAGCTGCCATCAAAAATAACTTTTTTGGACAAAAAATGATCTAGGGGAACAAATTAACGCCCGAGCATAAGTACTCCTCATTTTTCTCATTTTTCTCAAAGAAATTTTCTATGAAACGCATGGTTTAAAATGTCTCAAAAGCGATTGGCGAAACCTTCCATGAGTTTTGAGTTTAAAAAAAAAATCAATTACTTTGGGTACAAAAAACTTATTCGATATCCAAAAAAAACTTTCATAGAATCTTGGAAAGAATCGGAGTACTTTAAAATCCCTATAAATGCCTTTCTTAGACCCCATCATCAACTTGGAATTGCCTACCAGAAATCATAATGACAAAGAAGTTAAAAACACAAATCATAGAGTAAAAGTTACTGTCCGTGAAATTTTACCGTTTCAATAGTCAATCAAAAAATTTTCTCTCCTTGTTTGGCGTCGATTAGCAGAAAATGAAATTGTATAGTTTTCAAAATCGTATAAAAACTGATCAAATTTGATGACAACTCTGCCTGTTATTTCTGCCAAGGATTTCTGTGTGACGCTGATGATAGTTGACCATGATCCACCACATGAACAACTGCCCATTTTGCGCCAATTAGGTGAGACCAAAAAATCTAATTTTTTTTTTCATTTCTTAATTTAAACTTATCTTATTAGACGCACAGTGTTTTGTATGTGTCTGTCTGCCTGCAAAATCCAGAGATAACAAGCCTTCATTTATGTTAAATACAAAACAGTAGAATCGTCTTATCAAACTTTTGTGGATTCTCTTGAATTTGTAACATAAATTTTGTCTGATTTGCTGTTAGCGCAAGTTGGTTGTTGCGTAGCTTTGAAGCAAATTTTCTCAGCTCCGGCGCAAAAAAAAAGTAAAGAGATATTTCTCAGGAATATTTTCCTAAGACAGAAACATCGCGGAGCCTCGCACCACATGCGATACCACATAAACATAGAGAGAAAATTGAAGTGACAAAAAAACGATGACAGCTGCCAAGTCCAAACTATCGAAAAACGTCAAAAAATAGATCTACCAAAAATTTATTATCTTTGTCTCGACCTGTGGGACGGTTTGTCGAACTGTGGGACATTTTGTCGACCTAGAGACGGTTTCTCGACTGTAGGAAGGTTCCGCGAATTGTGGGACGTTTGCTCGACCTTTGGAAAAGTTTGTCAACCTGTGGGAGGTTTGTCGACCTGCGGGAGGTTTGTCAACCTGTGGGAGGTTTGTCAACCTGTGGGAGGTTTATTGACCTGTGCGAGGTTTGTTGACCTGTGGGAGGTTTGTCGACCTTTGGAAAGGTTTGTCAACCTGTGGGAGGTTTGTCAACTTGTGGGAGGTTTGTCGACCTGTGGGAGGTTTGTGCACCTGTGGGAGGTTTGTCGACCTTTGGAAAGGTTTGTCAACCTGTGGGAGGTTTGTCGACCTTTCGGACGGTTTGTCGACCTGTGGGAGGTTTGTCGACCTGTGGGAGGTTTGTCAACCTGTGGGAGGTTTGTCGACCTGTGGGAGGTTTGTCGGCCTTTGGAAAGGTTTGTCAACCTGTGGGAGGTTTGTCAACCTGTGGAAGGTTTGTCAACCTGTGGGAGGTTTGTCGACCTGTGGGAGGTTTGTCGACCTTTCGAAAGGTTTGTCAACCTATGGGAGATTTGTCAAGCTGTGGGAGGTTTGTCGACCTTTGGGACAATTTCTCGACCTTTGGGACGGTTTGTCGACCTTTGGGACGGTTTCTCGACCTGTGGGGCATTTTCTCACCCTGTAGGAGGTTTGTCAACCTGTGGGAGGTTTGTCGAGCTGTGGGAGGTTTGTCAACCTGTAGGAGGTTTGTCGACCTGTGGGAGGTTTGTCAACCTGTGGGAGGTTTCTCGACCTGCGGGAGGTTTGTCAACCTGTGGTAGGTTTCTCGACCTGTGGGAGGTTTGTCGACCTTTGGAATGGTTTGTCAACCTGTGGGAGGTTTGTCAACCTGTGGGAGGTTTGTCAACCTGTGGGAGGTTTGTCAACCTTTCGAAAGTTTTGTCAACCTGTGGGAGGTTTGTCAACATGTGGGAGGTTTGTCGACCTTTGGGATGGTTTCTCGACCTTTGGGACGGTTTGTCGACCTTTGCGACGGCTTCTCGGCCTGTGGGGCGTTTTATCAACCTGTGGGAGGTTTCTCAACCTGTGGGAGGTTTGTCGACCTGTGGGATGTTTGTCAACCTGTGGGAGGTTTATTGACCTGTGGGAGGTTTGTCGACCTGTGGGAGGTTTGTCGACCTTTGGAAAGGTTTGTCAACCTGTGGGAGGTTTGTCAACGTGTGGGAGGTTTGTCGACCTGTGGGAGGTTTGTCGACCTTAGGAATGTTTTGTCAAATTGTGGGAGGTTTGTCGACCTGTGGGATGTTTGTCGACCTGTGGGAGGTTTGTCGACCTGTGGGAGGTTTGTCGATCTTTGGAAAAGTCTGTCAACCTGTGGGAGGTTTGTCGACCTTCGGGACGGTTTCTCGACCTGTGGGAGGTTTGTCAACCTGAGGGAGGTTTTTGGACATGTGGGAGGTTTGTCAACCTGTGGGAGTTTTGTCAACCTGTGGGAGGTTTGTCGACCTGTGGGAGGTTTGTCAACCTTTCGAAAGTTTTGTCAACCTGTGGGAGGTTTGTCAACATGTGGGAGGTTTGTCGACCTTTGGGATGGTTTCTCGACCTTTGGGACGGTTTGTCGACCTTTGCGACGGCTTCTCGGCCTGTGGGGCGTTTTATCAACCTGTGGGAGGTTTCTCAACCTGTGGGAGGTTTGTCGACCTGTGGGATGTTTGTCAACCTGTGGGAGGTTTATTGACCTGTGGGAGGTTTGTCGACCTGCGGGAGGTTTGTCAACCTGTGGGAGGTTTGTCAACCTGTGGGAGGTTTATTGACCTGTGCGAGGTTTGTTGACCTGTGGGAGGTTTGTCGACCTTTGGAAAGGTTTGTCAACCTGTGGGAGGTTTGTCAACTTGTGGGAGGTTTGTCGACCTGTGGGAGGTTTGTGCACCTGTGGGAGGTTTGTCGACCTTTGGAAAGGTTTGTCAACCTGTGGGAGGTTTGTCGACCTTTCGGACGGTTTGTCGACCTGTGGGAGGTTTGTCGACCTGTGGGAGGTTTGTCAACCTGTGGGAGGTTTGTCGACCTGTGGGAGGTTTGTCGGCCTTTGGAAAGGTTTGTCAACCTGTGGGAGGTTTGTCAACCTGTGGAAGGTTTGTCAACCTGTGGGAGGTTTGTCGACCTGTGGGAGGTTTGTCGACCTTTCGAAAGGTTTGTCAACCTATGGGAGATTTGTCAAGCTGTGGGAGGTTTGTCGACCTTTGGGACAATTTCTCGACCTTTGGGACGGTTTGTCGACCTTTGGGACGGTTTCTCGACCTGTGGGGCATTTTCTCACCCTGTAGGAGGTTTGTCAACCTGTGGGAGGTTTGTCGAGCTGTGGGAGGTTTGTCAACCTGTAGGAGGTTTGTCGACCTGTGGGAGGTTTGTCAACCTGTGGGAGGTTTGTCAACCTGTGGGAGGTTTCTCGACCTGCGGGAGGTTTGTCAACCTGTGGTAGGTTTCTCGACCTGTGGGAGGTTTGTCGACCTTTGGAATGGTTTGTCAACCTGTGGGAGGTTTGTCAACCTGTGGGAGGTTTGTCGACCTGTGGGAGGTTTGTCAACCTTTCGAAAGTTTTGTCAACCTGTGGGAGGTTTGTCAACATGTGGGAGGTTTGTCGACCTTTGGGATGGTTTCTCGACCTTTGGGACGGTTTGTCGACCTTTGCGACGGCTTCTCGGCCTGTGGGGCGTTTTATCAACCTGTGGGAGGTTTCTCAACCTGTGGGAGGTTTGTCGACCTGTGGGATGTTTGTCAACCTGTGGGAGGTTTATTGACCTGTGGGAGGTTTGTCGACCTGTGGGAGGTTTGTCGACCTTTGGAAAGGTTTGTCAACCTGTGGGAGGTTTGTCAACGTGTGGGAGGTTTGTCGACCTGTGGGAGGTTTGTCGACCTTAGGAATGTTTTGTCAAATTGTGGGAGGTTTGTCGACCTGTGGGATGTTTGTCGACCTGTGGGAGGTTTGTCGACCTGTGGGAGGTTTGTCGACCTTTGGAAAAGTCTGTCAACCTGTGGGAGGTTTGTCGACCTTCGGGACGGTTTCTCGACCTGTGGGAGGTTTGTCAACCTGAGGTAGGTTTTTGGACATGTGGGAGGTTTGTCAACCTGTGGGAGTTTTGTCGACCTGTGGGAGGTTTCTCGACATGTGGGAGAATGGTCAACCTGTGGGAGGTTTCTCGACCTGTGGGTGGTTTGTCGACCTTTGGAATGGTTTGTCAACCTGTGGGAGGTTTGTCAACCTGTGAGAGGTTTGTCGACCTGTGGGACGGTTTCTCGACCCCTTTGGGACGGTTTGTCGACCTTTGGGACGGTTTCTCGACCTGTTGGGCGTTTTCTCAACCTGTGGGAGGTTTTTCAACCTGTGGGAGGTTTGTCAACCTGTGGGAGGTCTGTCGACCTGTGGGAGGTTTGTCAACCTTTGGGAGGTTTGTCGACCTGTGGAAGGTTTCTCAACCTGTGGGAGGTTTGTCGACCTGTGGGAGGTTTCTCGAACTGTGGGAGGTTTGTCAACCTGTGGGAGGTTTGTCAACCTGTGGGAGGTTTCTCGACCTGTGGGAGGTTTGTCAACTTGTGGGAGGTTTGTCAACCTGTGGGAGGTTTGTCATCCTGTGGGAGGTTTGTCAACCTGTGGGAGGTTTGTCAACCTGTGGGAGGTTTGTCAACCCGTGGGAGGTTTGTCGACCTTTGGAAAGGTTTGTCAACCTGTGGGAGGTTTGTTGTCGACCTGTGAGACGGTTTTTTGACCTGTGAGACGGTTTGTTGACTGTGAGACAGTTTCTCGGCCTAGGCGTTTTTTTCACCTGTAGGACGATTTATCGACCTTTGGAACGGTTTGTCGACCTGTTAGACCGTTTCTCGACTCAAGTCCGGTTTCTAGACCTTTGGAACGGTTTCTCAACTGTGGGACGGTTTCTCGACCTGTGGAAACTGGTTTTTAAATTTAAAAAAAAATTGTGAAAATGATTCTGTGATTCATTATTTTCATGAAAAAGTCAACAGGTTGTTTTAGTGAAAAAATCAATGTTTCAATTTGGTAACCGCACTTTCAATCATTTTCTAACGATGAATCAAGAAAGCAACAAATTTAAGAAAATGTTCAAATGTTTTTACTTTTAATTTAACTTTTTGATATAAAACTTTTTGAAAGAATCCATAAAAGATTTAAGAAAAAATCTTAAAACTAAATTACCTCCACCATTGGGATTTAACGGTCCACCTTTTTTTGAGTTTTCCCATAGAATCGCAAATTGAAGTCTCGTATAATTTTTTTATATCAAAGTTGCAATATTTGCTTGTATCGAAAAAGTGGATATTGTCTATAAAAATAGCCCCGAAAGGTAAATGAATACCATTTGATAATGAGGTGCTTCAAAATTTCTGCATTTTACAGAAACCAAATTTACTGTTCTATGTTTTGGTATGTTTTTTTAGTTGACCTGTTACCGAATATTGAAATAGTTCATCTCGACATCGATGATTTGGCGGTGGACACTCCATTTGAAGGCTTCTTCCACACGGAGAGATTTCTGTCCAGCAAAATCACATTCAACATGCCAGTACACGCCAGGTATTCCTCAGCAAACGTTTTCAAATAGCAAACTCACTTCCAATTTACCATTTCCCACAAATATCAGATTTCATTTTCGATGAGCGAATGAGCATTTTTCAGCCTTTCTGATGATTTGTGTACAATTTACAAATTAAATTATGCTTTTAAAGAATCCCATCTTGGAAAAACACCAACGAGGCCAGTTAGTTGCCTATCGAGTGCTTTCATATAATTATCAACATATTTCTGCCTCTTCGTTTTTGATTATTTAGCTGATTTTGCACTGTTGTCGAAATTAATTGTCGAAGGAACCTCGAAAAAAAAAGCAGGAATATTGAGATTTTCACCCCCCCCCCCTACTGTTGAGTTTGAATGAAGGTGTATTGATTTATTGCGCCGTTTTCAGTGACATAGGGAGAGCGTGTCTTCTGTGGAAGTTTGGAGGGGTCTACGTGGATTTGGATGTGATAGTGTTGAAGACACTAGACAGAGCCCCCCAGTATGTGGCACGCACTCCACACGGGGGAATAGCCAATGGAATCCTCAAGGCTCTTCTTCGTCTTCCTTTCTTTTTCGCTTTTCTTCTTTTTTCGCTTCTTTCATCAAATGAACCTAGAAGTTCTAACATTTTCCACCCTAATCAAGCACCCGTATTTCGGAAACTAGGAGTAGGAAAGACCTATTATGGGATTTTCCGGAAATAATCCTGAATATTAGACGTAATGTACAAGTTTAATTAATAATACTGTGGTACCGCAACTGCTACTGCATTTGCAGTAACCATGTTGTGGCCTTGACTCAGTTGGTCATATTATTATCTATAAATTATATTATCTTATTATGTAAATCAAGGTCAATAATGTGTGACCTTTATTGAGAGAAAAGAAGAGAGATTGACTCTCAGATCTGTGGCTCGGTGCACAGTTGAACACAGATAAGAAAACTATTAGAAAAACAACACGGTTTCAATCATTAAATTAACTCTTCGAAACCAAGTCTATTTTCATTATAAACCTCAGAGGTTTTGTCAGTTATCACATGGCGCAGCCAGCAGGATCCGGTTTTATAGCTCAAGACATCAGGACAGATATGGGAATCCCAGTATTCTGGGCATCTGCAAATTCAGATCCTCCCAGGATTTTCGAAACATGGTTCGATCAGTTCCTATTAGCTGTTACGGTCAAAGAGAACGTGGATCCAGAAGTAATGTTAGAGGAACCCAAAATTGTCCTGGAAGAACCTCTACCAGTTCCGGAACCACCAGTGCAGAATGAGGATGCGCCTGCAGTAGCAGAGAGAGAAGCCCGGAACAGATTGGCACGGGACAGAGTGGCTCTAGAAAATGAAGAGCGAGTTTTGAGAGGACCTAAAATGGGACACAACGTATTTTATCATGAAGTTGGAAGACGTTTGACATCAAGATTATTTCTCGCTTTGGGCGCAGAAGGGAAGAAAAAGTTTATCCAAAAGAATCCTCACAGAGAGATATTCAAACTGCATTTTCGCGACATAGTGCGTTTAGCAAAAATCTCATTTGAAAAGACGAAATGTATTACTTATGAGAGATACAAATTGTTTACACGATCTCATGAAACGAATGAAACTCTCGAGTCCTTTCATGCGGCATTGACTGCACAAGCAGCAAAGGCGGAGTTGGGAGGACTGGAAGAAGAGTTGGTGAGAGATCTATTTATTTCCCGGATGAGAAATGTCGTTCTTCAAGACACATTAACTTTTGAAATATTTTCTCCCGAAGAAGTTCTAAAGCGTGCACTAAAATTCGAACAAAGCAAACAAACTACCCAAGCATTTCAAAAGTCGTCGGCGAATACTAACAACTCAGGATTGTTCTCAAATTCACAAATGAAAATTAAACAAGAACCGGTTATGGCAATTGGAAACAAGAGGTATAACCCTAAACGACAAAGTCAACATCAGAATAGAAGAAAGCAGTATGAAAACAAGAAAACTCAAAGATCTAAAGGAAATCAAAAACAATGCACGAGATGTGGTAGAGTGTTTGGAGAAGGCCATTTGAAAAATTGCCCGGCAATGGGTAAATCGTGTAAGAAATGTAACAAACCCAATCACTTTGCTAAAATGTGCAGATCACAGCAAGTTAACGAAATCGCAAATGAAGATTCTAGTTCAGAAGAGGAATGCAATTTAATACAAAATTTCGATTCTTGTGATGAATTTGAGATAATGGCCTTGGAGGAAGATTTTACTTCCATCGAAAATGTTAGAAAATACATCAACAAACGGATATCAGCGAATTTATCAGCGAATGTGTCCGAAGAGAAAAACAATGAAATGAAAGTGTCGACGGAGAAATTTGACAATATTGAGAAAATCGAGATTCGTAGAAATCCAAAATCTCATCAAGTTAAAGCACCGAAGGCTTTAGTGAAAATTGATAGTCATATCTTGAATATGACTATAGACACCGGTAGTCCAGTATCACTTCTGAATTGGGCGACAACAAAACAATTTCTGGAAGGCCCTACGAATTCAAAATTTATTCCAGTAGAGAAGCAGAACCTGTCCGCGCAATTTGTGGATTACAATAAACGACCTATTTTGATATTAGGAGCGTTAAAAGCGAATGTGCGTTCAGCGGGCTGGGAGGTGCTAGGGGCGATGCTACTAGTCACAGAAAGACGCATGCGATGCATACTGGGTCTGGATCTTAAAAGTAAACTGGGAACTCAGACCACTCAAAAAGCAGCCCCGACACGAAAATCCAGGTTCGACGTGCTACTGTGCGAGCAGTCAGAAGGTTGGAAACAAAAATTCTATAAAGAATTTAAAAATCTCTTTGATAGACAAGGGGAGTCAAAAAATCATACGGTGAATACAAAATTAAAATATCCTTTATGTCCGATCCAAGAAAAAGGTAGGAGAATTCCTATACATATTCAGGATAAAGTACAAACTGAATTAGATAAGCTACTTTCGGAAGGACACATCGAAAAGTTGGATAAAAGCACAAGCGATTGTTTTAATGCTCCAATTGTTATCACAGTTAAGAAAGACAACTCTATTAAGTTAGCTTTGGACGCAAAACCTATCATTAGACAACTGTATAAAAATGAATATCAGATGCCAAATGTGGACGAACTGATAGATGGTGTTAGCCAAATAATCACGGCAACATCGGAAGGCTCACTGTATTTCACCGTGTTGGATTTAAAGTATGCCTACAGTCAAATAAGACTAACTGCGGAAACAGCAAAACAATGCAACTTTAACATCGTAGGGGGCCAAGCAACGGGAACATATAGGTTTTTGACAGGTTTCTACGGGCTGGCAGACATGCCCGCCGAATTCCAGAAAGCAATGGATAGAACATTAAACCATTCCAAAAATACCTTTTGTTTCCTGGATGATATTTTAATCAACTCCAAGGGGAAAGCCACGGATCATGAGAAATTGGTCCGCGACGTGTTGCAAAAATTGAATGACGAAAATCTCGCATTAAAAATTACAAAATGTGAGTTTTTTCAGCCCTCAGTGAATTGGTTAGGCCATAATTTGTCGGCTGAAGGTATAATAACAAAAATTACGAAAACTGAAGCTATTGCAAATCTACAACCCCCTAAGTCATTGAAACAACTTATGGGTAGTATTAATTGAAACAATCGTTTATGGGTAGTATTAATCATTTATCCAAATTCATCCCAAACGCGGCTAGTTTAACGGATAAACTTCGACCACTACTGAAAGAAGAAAATGAAAAAAAGAAAATCAAGAATGTGCGACTGCCAGTGAAAAAGTTTGAGTGGGAAGACCAACTTTCTGTAGTCTTTAAGGAAATCAAAAAGGCAGTAGCCAACATCGCTTTATTAAACTATTACGATCCATCTAAACAAACCCGAGTAAAGTGCGATGCAAGTCACAGCGGACTAGGGGCTACTCTTGATCAATGGTCTGATCGGGATGAATGGGTACCGATTGCATTCGCATCCCGGTATTTAATTTCCCAGGAGATAAAATATTCTACTAACGAACTCGAACTGCTAGCAGTAGTTTGGGCTGTAGATCGCTTCAAACATTATTTATTGGGAAAAAAATTTGTTATAGCAACAGATCACAAAGCCTTAACGTCTGCCTTGGGGGAGCACAGATCGAATAAAACTTACCAATCCCGATTAACTAGGTGGTAGGACCGATTACTACCGTACCATTTTAAAGTTATTCATATTCCAGGAAGGGATATGGGCATCGTTGATTATCTATTGAGAGAGCCCAATGGAAACCATGGCCAGAATCGGAATTAGATGAGAGATTTGTAGTGACTTCTATCAAAAGTTTTCACAAAGCACTCGACTGTTTGAGCAGTCGGCTTAGTGAAACAAACCAAAACATTGACATCAATGTTCTAGAACATTCTGGTTTAAAGCGAGAAATTAACCACTGTAAAGACAGCTCATCACACGGTTGCTATGGTAACCAGTTTGTTCAAAACTGGACAAAGCTCGACCGGAACGAAAACGGTCAAAGCTCACGTTTTCAAAAAGAACAGAGTCAAAAAAACACATTGTTCAAGATAGCTCACAAGAAACAGTCGGTCGAAAACTTAAAATTTACTACAAACCTAAACGATAAAAATTGCATTCAAATTTTCAAACATCCGGCGGAACTTACTAAAGCAGCGTTTATGAAAGAAATGGAAAACAACAAATCAGGAAAGTCGAAGAAGATAACAAACAAACAGAACGAAGCTCGGAGGGGGGACGAATTGACAGAACAGGTGACAGAAACTACTTTCTCCCGAACACGCATGGCGAAGAGAGGAGCAGCGTGCAGCAGGCAGGACTCAGATACGTCAGATTCTGATGTGCCTCAGGTTGAGTGAAGGACAGTAAAGAAATCATTCAAACCCAAAGAAATAACAGCGGGCAAAGTAGGAGAGACAAATCTAATGTCATTCTGGGATCTCATGGGGGCCGAAAAATCAGATAACCCGAAAAGTCTACTAGAACTTGAAGCAAGGACAATTCTGGAAAACAGGAACAGAAGTGAACAGGAATTGGTGACAAATGCCAAACCATCAATCATAGAAGTGGATCTTACCGTCGAAAGCCCGTCCGAAAGTCCAGAAGTCAGCGTGATCAAAAAGGAGAAAACGAATCACAATCCAGAAAAGACGATCCTCGCCAAGGGGAATTAAGCACGGAAAACAGTCTGGACAACCTCACCAAATTGTTCGATAGGAGTCTGCTAGCAGAGTTGACTTCGGAGGATGCTTGGATGGATAGACTCCGACGTGTGATCGAAAGAAACGATCGTCATAGTTTCGAGTTGATGGGTCCGTACACAAATCCTCTCTGGCATCAACTTTCTGTGGTGGATGACTGCATACTGGTGGACAACAGGCTAGCTGTTCCGGGGCAATTGCGCCAAGCAGTATTAAAGAGAATTTATCGCGGTCACCCAGCCCAGGAAGCTATGCTAGACGTTTCGAAATACCTGTGGTGGCCGCATATGCACAAGGACATAGTCAACCTTGCGGAGGAATGCAGAAGCTGCACTCGCTATGGTAAGAATGCAAAGTACATCATTCCGAAAAACGCTACCAAACATCTTCCACTGCTTATGCAGCCGGGTCAGGAAGTTCAATTAGATTACGCTGGTCCACACGAAGAATATAAAGGAAAAAATATATACTTGCTGGTGGCAGTAGACAGGTATTCTAAGTTTCCATCGGTAAAAATCACTAAATCAACAGGGGAAAATCGTCGACGAAATTTCTTCGCTCATACATTGATATCCATGGTATACCCGAATCAATTCGAACCGATCAATTTTCCGGGTTTAAAGGCAAAACTATGCGAAAATATTGTTCTGACAATAACATTGAACAAAAATTCTGTCCAGTTGGAGACCATCGCGGATGCGGTTTAGTTGAACGTACTATACAAACAATCAAAAGAAGATTGGGAGTCATGTTACTAGATGAAAATGTAACATCAATAAAATAATGTCATAGCACAATACTTCGTGATATCCGGTGGAGTAAACAGAAAACAATACAAATGTCGCCCTTTGAAGCCCATTTTGGTAGACTGCCAAAAACCGAATTCAAAATTCTAAGTGATAGATTTTTACGTAATTCTGATCATTTAGATAAACAACACCTGGAACATTCTGCGCTAACCGCCTCGCAACTCAAAAGGCGTTTTGACCAGTCTCGCGATAGCCTAAAAATTGTCCGAAAAGGACAAAACAGCAGAGAGGTGAGTCCTCTGTTTAAACAACAGGTTGAGTCGGCTGAGGATCCAACGAGAGCGCGGGCACTGATGGAACTTCTGGAAGCTAACGCCAGGTGCAATCAAACCAGACGAGATACATCTGCGAACGACTTACGACGTACGGTGGAGGAGACAAGTACAATTAACCCCGAGCTACGAAAAGAGATGTTGTACTCGTGGAAACGTGGTTTTGTCGAGGACAAACCGGATGATATAGTCAACCAACGTCAATCGTCACCTATCTTACTCAGAAAAGATGAGGGGCGGAAAAGCGGTAACGCTTTCACAAAGCCGCTGAAAGGAAAAGTAGTGACAGAGACACCTTCTACGGTCAAAACATCAGCGGGGTCCATATACCGGAAGAGTGACATTGCCAAAGCTAAGGTTGCTGTGCAGGACAAAAACAATCATAAACGCTCCCCAACAGGAGAAGAACCTAAAAAGAAGCAACAAAAACAGTCGCAACGGCAGTCCGATGATCAAGAGGATGATGAGAATAGTGGGTCTGAGGAGGATATACTGCTAGAGCAGCGAAGCATAGATCCAGTAGAAGCGCAGCGAAAATTCCAGGACAACCCAACAGTGGTCACGTCAAAAGATATTCTACAAGGCGGTGGTTTGAATCTAGCGGTGAAAAGGGCCAAACCCAATATGGCCGGACCGTTCACTAAAACATCGAAATCAAAAGGATGTACAAGCGAGAAAACTAGACCGACCAATTTACAGAGTAAATGTGCTGCCACGGCAGTCGAAGAAGAACCTCAGGCGTGTTCATCAAACTCAGCGGGAGCACCAAAGTCGACTTCTACACCTCACATTAGTACAAAGAGTAGGAAAAAAATATCACGCAATACATCCCTAAACACAATCCTGGACACGTTTAACAGCAAAGATTTAACAGCAGCGGACTGGAACCGTTTGGCTGATCAGGTCCTGGAGAGAGGAGTACAGCGCACGGCGGCGGATATCTTGCACTCTAAAGAAATTGTAGAAGAGCGGGAAGAATGTAATAATCCTCCGGGGTTTTCGGACGAATCCGAAGTAGAAGAAACATCGGTTAGAAAAAGCGGGAGGTCGAAGAGAGGTCCGACTAGATACGGTAATCCTATTAAACATTCGGTAAGATCAATTTCGTATCATAACAATCTCTTAGATTTAAATCAGGCCGCACTTGAAGCATACCGAATAAAATTAGCAAATTTCAAACCAGATGCGTCGAATTCGGTGGAAACGAAATTTGGACTGCTAGAAAAACATCTCTTCAGAAGGAAGTTCGGCAGCGAGGCCCTCGACATTAATCGATCTTGGAACGCTGAGTGGCGGGTTCCTCTACAATTGATGAGGAACACGAAGAAAAAGACGGAAAATGAATTAGAAATTCAAATGCAACAAGAAAACCAAAACTCCTTAAACTGAGTATCAAAACTCCTATTCAATGTTATTAAAATTTGATAAAGTATTGTAAAATTTTCTAGGCTGAGCCGGGTATGTGGTACCGCAACTGCTACTGCATTTGCAGTAACCATGTTGTGGCCTTGACTCAGTTGGTCATATTGTTATCTATAAATTATATTATCTTATTATGTAAATCAAGGTCAATAATGTGTGACCTTTATTGAGAGAAAAGAAGAGAGATTGACTCTCAGATCTGTGGCTCGGTGCACAGTTGAACACAGATAAGAAAACTATTAGAAAAACAACACGGTTTCAATCATTAAATTAACTCTTCGAAACCAAGTCTATTTTCATTATAAACCTCAGAGGTTTTGTCAGTTATCACAAATACAGACATCTTAACTTCTGGCATTTTTTAATTCTACCATTTTTGGAGAAAAAAGTTTTAACTAAAAACGAATTGAATAGAATACTATTTAAAACACAGAATGAAAAAGAGTCCGCATTAAGGAAGAATGTAATATCAGGTCCTGGAGAGAGGAGTACAGCGCACGGCGGCGGATATCTTGCACTCTTAAAGAAATTGTAGAAGAGGGGGAAGAATGTAATAATCCTCCGGGGTTTTCGGACGAATCCGAAGTAGAAGAAACATCGGTTAGAAAAAGCGGGAGGTCGAAGAGAGGTCCGACTAGATACGGTAATCCGATTAAACATTCGGTAAGATCAATTTCGTATCATAACGATCTCTTAGATTTAAATCAGGCCGCACTTGAAGCATACCGAATAAAATTAGCAAATTTCAAACCAGATGCGTCGAATTCGGTGGAAACGAAATTTGGACTGCTAGAAAAACATCTCTTCAGAAGGAAGTTCGGCAGCGAGGCCCTCGACATTAATCGATCTTGGAACGCTGAGTGGCGGGTTCCTCTACAATTGATGAGGAACACGAAGAAAAAGACGGAAAATGAATTAGAAATTCAAATGCAACAAGAAAACCAAAACTCCTTAAACTGAGTATCAAAACTCCTATTCAATATTATTAAAATTTGATAAAGTATTGTAAAATTTTGTTGGCTGAGCCGGGTATGTGGTACCGCAACTGCTACTGCATTTGCAGTAACCATGTTGTGGCCTTGACTCAGTTGGTCATATTATTATCTATAAATTATATTATCTTATTATGTAAATCAAGGTCAATAATGTGTGACCTTTATTGAGAGAAAAGAAGAGAGATTGACTCTCAGATCTGTGGCTCGGTGCACAGTTGAACACAGATAAGAAAACTATTAGAAAAACAACACGGTTTCAATCATTAAATTAACTCTTCGAAACCAAGTCTATTTTCATTATAAACCTCAGAGGTTTTGTCAGTTATCACAAATACAGACATCTTAACTTCTGGCATTTTTTAATTCTACGATTTTTGGAGAAAAAAGTTTTAACTAAAAACGAATTGAATAGAATACTATTTAAAACACAGAATGAAAAAGAGTCCGCAACTTGCTGGTAGTTCCACGCACACAGCCCCATGTTGATGAGATATCTGTCTAACATTTGGACAGACTACAACCCCGACCAGTACTCCAGACTGTTCTACGTCCTACTGGAAACAGTTCACAATCATTGCCTGAGAAAAGGTTGTCTTACATTGTCTAACAACATGCAGTTTGCAATGCTTGTGCACCCCTCAGTATATGTGGATCGTCGAAATATGGAAATGGGTGTCTTAAGGGCACGACAATTAACTTTTGATCCTGGCAGAGTTTTTATTATTCATGTATTTTGTTTCACAACATTCGACAGACTATTTGATAGATTAAAAACAGTTTTTATTGAGTTTTTAGGAAAAAATCAATATTTTTTCCAGAACTTATTTGAAAGCTTAATATTATTAAAATTAATTTTAAAAAATCGGAATATTTTTTCCTGTAGTACTTATGTGAAAAGCTATTTGTAATAATGTTACTAGGAATCAATATTATACCTGAAGACGCATATGGTAAGCAGACCCAAGGCGTGGTGGAGTTCTGTGACGGTGTGAACATATTCGGGGTGAATGCGGGACTGTTTGAACCCTTCAAGACCACAGAAGCATCCGACACCATATTCAACGAGACACACGGGGAAGTATTCGAGTCTATTCTCAAAGCAAAAGGTAAAATAGCATCCGAAATACAAGGCTCACTGAATTTAAATTTTATACAATTCAAAGTAAAAGGTAATTGAATAAATAATGTTTGTGGTTATTGTCGCAGCATCCCATTTAGAACCTAACACGAAACTTGACAAACTTTTCTAACAATGTTTTTTTTTGTGAAATTTCAAGAATAGTTTGCAATTTTTTTGAAGATATTTTTTTTTCAATTTAAATTCAAAATGCTATCAAGTTCTTGAAATCATTGTTGTTTCAAATCATTTTAACTTTTTGTAACCCATTTTAAGATCCGACGGTGCTGCACTATGCTGGGAACTCGAAAGGCCACTACAGAACCAAGATGAACGTGAGGGAAAGCGACTCTCTTTTTGCCAGGATGTTCAGGAAACACTGCCCATTCATTACACTCAAATATGAGTTCGTCTAATTCAAGCTTACAACATTAGTTTTTTCTGGTTAAAAAACTTTTTTCTCATTCAAACACATGAGGTTGGAATGCAATTGTTCCGACTTTTGAAGAAAGTGCGGAATAATTATGCGTGGGGTATTTTTTTTTTTAATTCAGTCAATTTTTGGCTTATTAACTAAGCGTTTTTGACGGATTTTTTCTACACCAACTGAAGGACATGGTTGTCTTGAGCTCAAACTTAAAAAGATACTTTACCTGTGATTGTTTTTGTGAAGTTACCGGGGAATGAAAATTGTTACTTTGGTCAACTTGGGATAATTATTGCGCAATATATTGAGTTCTTTAAAATGCGTACGCGGCGGCAAATTATTGCGCTTCAAATTGAATTGGCGCCAGCATATTAATAATAATAAAACAATACGAGACGCTAAATGCATCATTTACATTTTACATAGCGTGCGGGGAGACAAAATGAAGAAAAAAAGAAAGATTGTTTTTTTTTCAATAATTTTGTCAATTATTCAGGCAAAAAACTTTTTATAGGCTTAAAAGGGCTGTCGGAACATTCAAGACCTCGCCCTAATAGACGAGAACTCTTGTTTTGCATTGAGTACGGTATTGAGTAATTTAACCGTTACACTAAAGTATAAATTCATTCAATTCAAATTTACGTTAATAATGTTTTTGGTAGAGCAATTAAGAACATATGATATTCTAATGTGTTTTCAGGATATATAAACGAAGTTTTTTTGTCTAATTATTTAATTACTAATCATAAAATTCCAAATTAAGTCTTTGACAAAATGCTAGTCATTCAGGTTTCATACAGTTTGCTAGTCTTAATAAGAAAACATTTTTCTTGTTTTCGCATCAAATTTGTTCTATTGTTAAGAATAAAAACTAAAAAATTTTTGGCAAAAATCGCAAGTTATACAATTTGCATAAATGGAAACTGTAAGACTAACTTTTTTTTGATGGCGACACCAAAAATTTTATACAATACTTTCGAAATTGAAAAAAAAACAGCTTTTTCAAGCGAAAAACGAAATTTGTGATAAGACAAACGTTTAGCAGATTTCATTTTGTTTTGCATGCAACTTCTTTGGGCTCATAATTTAGTCCTGGATACACAAAAGTTGATAACTTTTCCGTTTCTCTGAAAAACTTGTTCGAATACGCTCAAATATACTATTTTTGTATTGCAAATGTTGGTATGCCCTTGGGTGATGATAGAGTAAATCAAATTTTCAAGTTTAGAAACGGACTAAATTATGAGATTCTTTTAGAGCGTTTGCCCCTATTTAATTATTGATATATTTTTTTTCGTAATGTTGCTTGTGTAAGACATCCTTATTGAGATCGTTTATATTGAATTGTACACGCAAGATGACTCGATCTGTGGTGATTCAAGCTGTTTGTAATTAGGTCCTCTGTCACTTGTGTTCAATTACGAACACACCCCAGAAACTTTTTGAAAAAATTATTTTAAATAAACACATTTTAGTTAATGGAAAAATGTATATCTAAAAGTTCTAAAAATTTCTGTAAAAGGACAATAGAGTGGTAATTAATTAATCATTATTTAGCAAAGTGTTTAGCTGAAAAAAGAGGGGGAGATTAAGTTTTAAATTTTTTTGAAAAGGTCGATGAGCGTTATGAAGACATCTATATAGGCCGTGTTGATTTTTTTCTATTTTTCAAGAAAACTTTTTTATAATTTTGTTACACTCGAGTATGATTTTTTTGGGATTTGCTTTTTGATTTCTTTTTGAGATCTAATTTGTGAAAAGAAAAACAATACCAAAAGTGTAAGCGGTGAAAAAAAAATTGACGCTCTTCTATTTTAATTTTTAGATTTAAAAGCGGAGTAAAAAACACCTATTGATCCGGTTTTAATCCGATTTCAAATTAACTTCAGCTCATAAAAATTCAATTAAATAATGTTTTTATCAGATCGATTTGTTAAAAAATAACTCATGTAAATCAAAAAGTGATTGTCTTCTTTAAAAAACATTTTCCTTTGAAACCTATTTAGTTTTTAAAGTAGGTTTCCTTCCCTTCATTGACAGTTTACCGACTATTTGGTGGATATCTTTGGTTATAACACAAGTAAGTGATATTTCTATCAACGAATTACGTGTAGCAAAAAACCGTCTATATATTTGATCTTCTCACTTCATTCTGAAAACTGATCACATAAACAAACTGACTATATTTGTACCTTGAAATTTTGTAGGCAAAATAAAGTTGATAGATGATCATGTTCGATTTAGAAGCAAAAAATTAGTCAAACGGTTTGCTCATCAATTGGAAAGTCAGCTCAAGGATCATCATATTCCATGCTTTTTGGCTGAGGTTGAGGTAAAAATTCACCACCGATGTTCAAAAAATAGCTATTGAAAAAAATACTTAACATTTGAGCAGGAGCTTTACAGCAGATGTTTTCTGAGACTGATTAGCTTGTATAATTGTTCTTTTTTTGGTTGGTGAAAAGTCAAATTAGAGCTAATTTAGAAATGACTTCGATGTCGATAAAACAGTTTTTGACAGCACAGGGTCTTGATTTATCAAGGAGAGCGCTTGTAAATATTTTAGCTGCTTTAAGAACAGCATCAAAAAAAAAAATTGGTAATTTTCAGTAAGGAAGTATTCCTTGTTAAGCTCACATTTTTTTTGGCAATACTTCATAATTGAACTATAAAAACAAAGACTATGAAACTATGAAGGAATCAAGTATTTTTGGACAATTTAATCAGTTTTGCAGTTGATGCTCTCAGTTTTCCGGTTTATATCAGAGTTTTTTGATACAAACAGGCTTGTTCAGAATAACAATTTAAATTATTTCGACAATTTCTTGTCGATGACTGAGAAAAATTAACACGAAGCTGAACTAGAGGTTGCACTACTATCTGTGAATTGAAGACTAACATCTTTATGTAATCTACGAGAATATGTTACTCTAAAAACTTCCGTTTGTTTGTCCGCAAATATAGTTTTTTTTTGAAGTTTGTTGTTATTTGAGAGACCAAAAACAGAAAAAATGAAACGAAATTTTAAAAAAAAGATTTTTTATTGACTTACCATAACTTGGACTCAATGCAGTTTTCCAAAATTTGGGTAAGGTTATGTCCAATGCATAAGATTGCTCAAAATTTCAATAATTCAAGCAATTTATCTCCTGCTGTTGATAGTTCGAATCAATGTTTAAAATCAGAATTGAAAGCAAATTTTGTTAGCTATGCTCTCATGCTCTTCATCTTTTTTTTCTGTGAGGATTTGAGTTTACGTGAAACTGAGATTGTATAAGCTGTTTTTAAGCTCCTTTAAGAACTTCTCAAAACGATACATCAATACAGTCATTAATTTGGAGCGCAAATTCCGTAAATAAATTGTCTGTATCACAGCTGACATTGAGTTGAAAATTGATGCCCATCTAAACATGCTATTTTCCGTTTACTTATGACAATTTTAATTTAATAAACCCCAAATTTTGTTTTTTTTTGTCAATTTTAGCACTTTTAGGTAAGAATAATTGTGCCTTGGTGATTTATTTGGGAAATTGGGCTATTGGTGACAGTCAATTTTTCAATCAATTTTTCGAAATGGATTATCACTAAGACAGAAAAATTTTCTGATTAACTTCTAATTCAATTGCCATAAATAGCCTGAAAAAAATCTCAGCAAACAGATTAGGCGAAAACTGCTTCAACTGCTCTTCAATAACAATAAAAAAAATGGTTTCAGAAAATAGTTCAAACAGGAGTGTGAAGAATCGTAACGTCGATAGATACTTTGGTGTCGATAGATTATCGTGATACATTGAATCCTCTCGATAGCTTATCTGAGAAACTATTATCGGAATTCTATATACATCTGTATTAGTGGTCGTCCATCCAAGAAGCCACACATTTACAACTTTATGGTACCCCAATGCAAACTCGTAGCATTTGTCAATGTCGCGGCTCTTATTCAAAGTTAGGACAGTTAGCAAACATATTTCACAAAATAAAGATTGGAATTTATCGAAAACATCGAGTTTCCAGTCGATAGATTATCGCGATATTTAAAAGCTTGTCAATAAATATTTCGAGATATATTGTATTGCGATATATCGGATATGAGTTTATCAATTTTCTGAGTTCAAAATTTGAAAAAAAAATTGTTAACGTTTTGATTTATAGTCTTACCTTCTCTGTACGCTTTGTAAAAGTGAAAAGTGACATATTTTGCGTCTGGTAACGTACTAATAAGAGTAAATTGCTTTGAAGTTCTATTCAAATCAATTCAATTATTCCTACAATTCAACTGGATTGATTTAATTAGCCGCTTGCACTTTCATAAGATGAATTATGTCGCCCGTTACCCTTTCATTTTTGCTACATTTGCAGTTTTTAAACAACACCGGAAATTTTTCAAAGAAAAATCGCATGTGAAATATATATCTCAAAAATATTCAATTGTCAGCTCAGAAGATAAGTGCTTTTCAAATAAATTTTAAAGTTCCCTGCAAAACCAACTTGTTGAAAAAGCAAAACTTGTTTAAAGAAGAAAACACCCCGAGCACTACTATTCTGTCTTTTCTCCGAAAGACCGAGCAATTATGACACTTTTAAAAGTGGGCTGTAATTATCCGAGTCATAAGTCTGGAACTGTATACTAGGAATAATTGACACATTTAGCATAGTACTATAGAGTCAAGTTAAACAAGTTCAACATTTTTTTTGCGAAAATAATATAAGTTCGTTCATTATATACTCCGCCGCCATTTCTCTCTCAAACCATGGGATCAGCCACTATTCCTGCAAACAAAATCACCCTCAACTTGGGGTTGGCAATGGCGAATAGATACGGCGAGTCCACCATATATTTCGGGGGCATCATTCTTGGGGCTACTTTGGCCAGGGTGGCTGCAGCTGCTTCGGTCCCATCTTCGTCAACTGTTACGAACGTCTTCTGAATAACCTAAGAGCGCAAGAAAGATTCAATTCTATTTCAATTAGTGGAAGCTTTGTCTCATGGTACTATTTGGTTAAATTAAAAACTCAAACGCCTTCAAATACAACTTCAGCTCCTTGATAAAATTTACTGAGTCATTTCTTCAGAATGTATTAGAAAAAATTTGACGAAAACCATCCTAATTAATTTAATTTTTCTTGGCAGCATGAATTGAAAACTCTTAAATTTATACTTGTGATATTTTTGAAGGCACATCACTGATGTCCGAGAAATCAGCCGCATCCGAGAAGGCCAACTTGATCCCCATTTTCTCCAAAAGGGGAATAAGGTCAACTTCACTTTCCACTCTGCTCTCCGGCAAACGAAAGTTCACGTACCTTTGGTAACTTTTCTCATGAATGTCGAAGAGTTTCTCGGAAATAACCTCTTTGAACTCGACGGGGTTTTTCTTATCTTGAGGGTGAATTATAAACATACCCCAGTCTAGTTCGGTTTTATTCTGTCGGTAAGGCATGAAGAAAGTCGTAAACTTGCTTCCACAGTCAAGTTTTGATTTGGAAACTTTGAAAAAGTCAGTAGTTGTCATATATTTTATTTGTTTTTCGCCTTGTGGAGAGTAGAAAGTTCCGTTGATTCTATATGTTTTAACGAAAGGATTGAACCAAAACCCCCTCATGTAGATTGTATTTATCAGAGCCATCAAGTCTTCAGGTTCTGAGTTTTTCAGAACATCTGTGATTTTTCCATTCGTTTGCTCCGAAATCCAATCGTTGACTATTTTTTCGCCCTCGTGAGTTCCAAATTTAACAGCTTCGAAACCCGCTTCATAATTTTCAGTCAGAATATTTTGAAAAGGCTGTAAAACTTCAAGCTTCTCATTCACGAAAACGCCGTTTGTTATATTCAATGTAAAATCAGAATTGCTTTCGTTTTTATAGAGCTTGAGCAAATTTTCGGCTTCCTGGCAATAATTGCTCGTTTCGGTAAATTGCAACCCTTTGTGGATTTCAACTCTAGTGGCTCCATGTGCTCCATGGCTAACCATACACATGGTTATAAAAGCACTAACGGGCGATAAGACGAAGTTCGAATTAGCATCTTCGCCTAAGTTGCTGAAGTATGTACTCAACAGAATTTGGGTAAAATTCAAAGACGCAAAGAAATCCATGAAATTGTTACCTAAGATTTTGGAAATTTGTATTTTTCCGAAAATTTTTGAAAAATTAACAATTTTGAGCTAAGCTTATACTCAATTTAGCTTTACCAAAATGAAATTAGGGCGGATGATAATATTAAAAACTAGGTTATTGATATTAGTCAGCTTTCAAATAAGGTTTCCGAGATCAACAAGTTCAAATATGTATTCAACAATATTAGATTAGATTTGTATTATCTCGAAGCTCAAGCAAATTGAGTTGATTTGCTTGAACTTCGAGCAAATCAACAACAAAAAGCTTACGTCACTATCGCCAAACCACACAAGTCTATGGTTGTAGTTTAACCAATAGCTATGGCAAATATGCTCAAGCCTAAACCGCGTTTGTTGTCTCATTGGCATTCAATTTGACCTTCAAATTACAAGTAGTTTCAGGAAGGTCAAGTAATCATTGGTGCACATCAGTTGAAAAGAGAGTTGAAACCACTTGAATCAGGGAGAATCAAGTAGAATTAATGACAAAATGCTATGAAAATGTCGAGGACCTTGAGCAAATAAATAATCTGTCAACAATCAAAGATTTTCAGGTTACTTAGTAACTTTGAAATGGAAGATGTGAAATGGGTAAAAATTGGTTTACAGCGTCAAAATTATCCTCCATCAGGTTCACTAGATTTTACCGCCGAAAAGGTGATTCCAAAAATTTGGAATTAAATATAAAAAGATACAAGACTGCTCGTATCAGGGGAGAGCCCTGAATGTTCCGACTGTCCCTAAACTGGTCTCGAATAGTTTTTGGTTAAAGAAATATTGACAAACAATGAAGTTTAAGCTGAACATTAGGAATCGTGAATGGAATTAAAAGACCAATTAGCCTGCCTCAATTAAATTTGGAGCGATTTTGTGCTGAAGGATAATTCGCCACGCATAAATAATGCGCATTAAACTTTCGGCATCCAAATATCACAGCGCTTTTTGGCTCTTTTTCCTTTACAACAACCCCCCCCCCACCTCACACGAGCTTCAATATATTAGTGTAACGAGTGGTTTTATGAAAATGAGTATGAGGACCAAATATGTTTGTCGTGGCCTTATTAGTCTGTATGTAATATTTCATAACAATCGGACAATGTGGTCAACAAATATACATGTAAAAATTTGAAGGTGGGGGGGGGGGGGAAGGAAAAAGAGCCCATTTTTTTATCACATTAGTCTATTAGTAAGCGTTTCACAGCATTATTCTAGGCAGGAAAGTCTATTGGTGAGCGCGCCCCTTCTGGGATTGCGAAGACCCATGGATCGATCCTCCGAGGCAAGTATTTTTGAGAATTGGTCTGAATAAAAAAAACGGCTCTTTTCCAGTTCCCTCCTTGAACTTTTCAAGTAATAAATTGCATTAAATCATGTCAGCATGAACAGGTGAACAAATTTTTACAACATTTCTTACAAGCAAAATTACCTGTGAACAATCTTTAAACAGCTTTATTTTGTTATTTTACGAGGGGGGTGGGAAGCTGGAAAAGAGCCAAAAAAAACACACCAAGCAAGTATATTCCTTACTTTCTCCGAAAATCGGAACAAAAATAACTTGAATCTGATTGAGAATGGTTTTTGATATATAACTTTAAGTTATAATAAAAAAGTTATACTATAACTAAAAAAAAAAAGTTTTTATAGTTATAACAAATTTATTGGATCAAATTTTCATTTTTTGAAACAGTTTTAACCTTCAAGCTACAAACGAATTCGAAATAGTTCTTTGAACTTTTATGATTGCTTTTCTTCGGTGTTTCATGTTTTTTTTCTAACAAATTGCATGACAAATCATTGTTGAATGAAATTATTCAAAAAATTGAAATATTTGAAGAAGCGCAATTAATTTTCCTTGCTTTTTTCACAACTTGTTTCATTCATTGCCGCAAGGTCAAAATTAGCTCATAAATTTTGAGCGTTGATATTCTAAATTGCTATCAGAAATATAGTTACAACCGAAATGTTGGTTAAATCCTTGACCATGCGCAATTTAACCGATCAAAACTATAGCATTTTAGGTAAATTAATTTTTGTAAACGGTTTTTACGTGTGGAATTTATTTGACCAAAAAATTCGGCATTAACTAAATATAATTTTTTAGGCAAAAAAAATCGGACAATATCTTAAATTTTTGAAACGACTCTGACCTTCAGACAAAAATGGGGTTAAAATTGAAAAAGAAACTTCAAAGTTGCACATTTGAATTATCAAAAGAGCAGTTCAAAATTATTGCGCTTTTCAGAGTCGTCAATCTGTTGAACCACTTGAAGCCCAAAACTATCAAACAGTTTTCATTGATCAGCTATCGGTCACGCAATTTCTTAATGAAAACAAAATCACGAAACGCCACAAAAATGCACACTAGAAACTTCAGAGATATTGTTCGAAATAATTTTAACTTAAAGGTCAGAATTTTTGTAATTGCCAAATTTTTGGCAATAGACTTTTCGACCAACAAATTAGAACGAAGTTAATTAACCTAAAAACTGCTCATTTTGACGTCGGACTGTTTTGGCACTGATTCTCATCGATAAAAACTGTTTACAAAAACTAATTTACCTAAATGCTTTAGTTTTTGACCAAAAAAATTGGTCAAGATGACCAATATTGCCAACAATTTGGCACAATTTATCTTCCAAATAATTAAGAAGTTGTCAGATAAATTTGTTAAAAATAACTATATAGAGAATTGCAAAAATTTTGATCTAGCAGAATTAATTAAGAACAGTAAATGTAGTTGTCTTGAGACATCTTTTTTCTCTGAAAAACTAGCTTTTGCATGCAAAAAATGTCTGAAATAGATAAAACTGCTCATTTTGACGAGGGATGTCTAATTTTTGCTCAATTGAAATTATACGGTTGAGATCAAATGGTTGACAAAATTTTTCCATCAATGAGTTTGAATGAAGTTAAATAACCAAAAACTGCTTATTTTGACTCAGGAAATCAAATTGTTACTCATTCGAAAATATATATCGCCTGCCAAATTTTTGGCGCTATCTTTTTCGGTCAACGAATATGAAGACAGATATTTAAACTAAAACTGATCATTTTGAAGCCGATTTTCAATTTATCACTGATTTCCTCAGGTAAAAAACCAAGTTCAAAAAAACTAATTAAACCTTAAATACTAAATTGAGCAAGGTCGCCGATATTACCAATAACTTGGCTTTAACAATAAAAAACAAATCAATCCAAAAAGTGGTGGTGCAGCAGAAATTTTTTTATAAGTAACTAAAGAGTAAATTTGTCACCAACTTAAGACTAAATTGTTGACATAATTGAGGCTGCTGATTTTGTAACACATCAAACTAAGAATATTACCAGCAAAAGTTGATTCATGCCATTAAAGAAGAAGTTCGCCTTCATAAAAGTCAATACGAATACTTTTTTGAAACTCAATTTTAATAAACTAGACTATAAACAGAAAGAATATAATAAACTGCAATGCTCATGTTTTGACAAATTTTTCTATGTTCTAGTTTTGATTGTTCTAGTTTTGATTCATGGTCCTAATCAAAAGAGCTTTCGAAATTGTCTGATTGCTCTTTTAAATTTGCAAGTTCCAGCCTTAGCTTCTTATTGTTAAAAAGAGACCAAGCTGTAGGCAATATTAATAAGCCTGTGCGCCGCAATTGCTGAAATGCGGTGTGTTTAAGGTTCCTCTCATATTGTTCCGACTTTCGAATAACAAGCGAAATATTCATGCCTGCTGTAATTTTTTTCCGACTTTCGAAAGTAACGGTATACTTGTGCTCGGGGTGGTTGTTTTTCTTCGGATAAATTTCGACTTTTTAACTGGCCATTTTTGACTGATTTTGTTGTCTTGAGCTTAAATTTGAAAAAATATTTCACCTGTGATTGTTTTTTGTAAAGTCATGGGGGTTTTCAGACTACCATTTTGACATTTTGACCAATTTGGGACAATTAACGCGCAACACATTTCGCGATATTTATGCGTAAGCAGAGATTTAATCAGTCTCAAAAATTGTTCCAAATTGTTTGACGGAAGCTTTATTGCCTTAATTAATTAAGGAGCAAAATCTATCTTGTTGTATTTCAAATGGCGTGCGGGGGGATGATTTTCTCAAAAAAATCTCAAATTTTCATTCTGTTTCATGTTACTTTATTACAATTAATTTTTTCTTGTTTTTACTGCTCCATAGACCTTTAAAGGCAGTCGGAATACTCAGGGCTTCGCCCTGATTCAAGCAGTCCTGTTTTCTTCTGTCAAGTTTTGCGTTTTTCATTGGCCACTTTTGCCAAAACTTTTTATACCATCTGAAAGATTCTGTTGTTTTGGGCTCAAAAAAATCAATATTTTAGCTGTGACTATTTTCGCTAAAGTTATGGGTTTGAAAAATGCCAATTTGGGAAAACTAACGCGCGATATATTGCTTTCTTATAACATGCGTAATAAATTCATGATGCGTTCCAAATTCAATTGAAGAGAGTCATCCGAGTCGCATTATTTTGATAAAAGACGCTAAATACATCCCTTGATAGCCTGTGCGGGAAAAACGTTGTGTTACTGTTGTTTATTTTTCCACCAAAAAACTTTTTACTTGTCCTTAAAGTGCAGTTAGAACATTTAGGAGTTCGCCCTGATATACGAGCAGTCTTGTGATTTTTTTTAAAAGAGTGCAAAATACATATCCGGCTTCAAAGTGTGCAGCTGTAGTTAGTATTTTTGTTAAAATTTTTTGACTCAAAAGTATATCTGATTTAAGTTTTCAAAACCAAACTAAACTAGTTGTCATTTTTCTGTTTTTTTTTGCTTATGGATCCTGAGCAAAATCATTAAAACTGACGCTGCTTATTTTAACATTGATCTTTGCACAGTGCTGATTTAAATTATCCGGACAAAATGAACAAAACCTCAGTTTTCAAACACGTTTTTCTCAAATTGGGTTACGATTAGACAAAAAGTGAAGACAAAAATTGCTTAGAATTTCATCAGACTTATTATCGTGCTTTTTTTCTCCAAAATTCTCAACCAAAATTTTATCCCAAAAATGGGTCAATTTGGTTTTTTTCAATTAATCAAAAAATACGCTGAAAAAAACTTTTTTAATTGAAAAAAAAATTATATCGCAAGAAGCCTTTTACTCAGCACAACAAAGTTTAAGAAGGGTTAAATCTCTAAAAACTAGTATAAGAGAAAACATTTTTATTTGATAGTCAATAAATGTGATTTTTACTATATAAAACCCAGAACCACTGTTTAAAAACAAATTTTAAACAATTTGCACAATTTTTTGGAGATTTAACCCTTCTTAAACTTTGTTGTGCTGCGTAAGAGGCTTCTTGTGATATAATTTTTTTT